AATAATAATAATAATAATAATAATAATAATAATAATAATAATAATAATAATAATGTGTAAAAGTGTTGGCCTAGTGAGTTAGAGCAGTGCGCTTGTGATCTGAGAAGGTTCTAAGTATCCGGTTCAATTCCCACTGCCTCCACTCTGGGTTCCTGAGCAAAGCCCTTAACTGCATGCATGAAACTTCCAAAAAAACCTTTAACCTAATTGGGCCTAGTTGTTTTCTGCATGAACCTATCACTATCTTGAATCAATATGGTGGAATGTAGATTCATGTCTTGTCTCATTTGGTTACTCTTTCACAGCTCTGTTAAGCATTTAAGTGAGGTTAGGGCCTGGAGTTATGGCAGGAAACTGCAGTTTGTTGGAATTGCCACCTGCAGCACCAGTAAAGTGCAGAAACTGCCACTTTAACAGGGGTGTTCACAATGAGACTACCTTTAGATGCTTTAGATCGGCCACATTCTGCCCCACCATTACATTTTAACTCATACGGAAGCTGGGAGGCTTTCAATTTAGCTTCTTCTGTGTTTGGTATTGAATTGTTTTGTTATATCATTTGAGCTTAGATTGAAATATTTTTGAAAAACCTTAAAAGAGTGAAGCATTTTTCTTTTCATTCAGGATGAAACTTCTTTATGATCACAATAAATTGCATTTTTTACGTAAAAATGAAAGTCATTGCATTTCTTAAATTATGAGTTGCACACAATACATAAACTGAAATGAAATAGTTAAAAATGGGGGTATGTAAAAAGAAGATGGCTTAGCTATGGCAAACATACCCTGTCTTTAGGTTCAGGATGGCGTCCTCCACCCCCCTCTGGTTGTATTTTCCCATGTACTGGTGCATGTCTGGATAGTTTGAGCGAATGTTTTTCTCTGTGCTCCCGTTGGGCACTGTGCCAAACTTCAGAGGTGGGTACTGCTCCTCTGGATGCTGAAACTATCAGAGGAAAAGAGGGTGAGGAAGGAAAAAGAAGGGGCATGAGACACACCAGCATGTGCACCAATCTGTCTGACCTACTTCTGTCCACTCTCCAGACTTACTTACAGCAATCCTTACCCACTTACAATGAAAAGAGAGCAGTCTGTGGACTTAAAGTAACATTTAAAATCATCTTTTGTGTGTCCTGGAAAAGTAGTAATCAAATTATGATACAAGAGGTTCTATTCATTTCTTAATTCCCATGCGTTAATCAATTTAACATTCAAATGCATGGGATTTGGCTCACTTCAAGACATTGATTCTCCCTCTGCTTTTTCCACCTAATCAGTATTCAAGTGCAGAAGTACCTTCTTGTCCGAGAGACCTGAAACTGTGTCGATGTACTCCTCCTGGATCATGAAGGCAGCCAGGTTAGCAGTGTAGGAGGCCAGAAAAATGACCGCAAAGAAGGCCCAAATCAGCACCATGATCTTGCTTGTGGTTCCTCTTGGGTTTTCCACTGGTACAGAGTTGTTAAAAACAATGGCCCATAAAAGCCATACAGATTTTCCAATGGTGAAAGTGGACCCTCCAGCCTCTAATTAGAACAATAATGGAGAAAAAAAGATTAGAATGATTAGAAGCAGGGATGTTGTTAGGTACAGTATATATATATATAGCTAAAACACAGCCCCCAACATTCACTGTGAATACTAGTAAAAATGGGGGGGAAAGTCCCTAAAGGGTTTTAGCAAAATAATAAAGGTCGATTTATATATTTTTCACTCCCATGCATACCTTTACAATTGCCTGCTTTGTAAAATTTGTTTTTCTCCATTTACTACAATACCCTCTATTGACTCCATTAGTCAGTTAATAAGAGTGATTTGGGTTTTATTCTCTGGGTGTGGGCGTGCTCTTGTTCATCTGGCTTCAGCCTCTGCAGCCATTGATGCATTAGAGATTAAACATCAGTGAGCGTTTCTGAAGTCTGACCACAAAAGATTAGCTACATAGAAGTGCACCTCAAACTCCATCAAATGTTCTACACAAATGTAAGAAAAACAAAATAAGTCAAATGGCGATGAAGTTCGATTCCTCTAATGTGTGGGGTCATTTGAACTTGTCACCAGAGGGGCCAATCTTTGAAAAAACTTTAGAAGTTGCGCTATGCTCCTTAAAATAAAATGCATATTTTACTTTTGGCTAAAAATTAACCTCGGTGGGAGATTATGCAAAAGAAATATATGTTTAACATATGTATATTTAGTCATTTTTGTGAGGGAGGGCATTGGACTGTATGGGACTGTTAATTAAATTCCTCAGTGAATGGTTTCAACAAAATTTTAATGTAAAAATCGAATTGTTTTCCAGACTGAATAGGATCACCAATATACAACACGAATGACCAAATAACTGAAAAAGAAAGCAAGGAAGAAAGCATCAGATAGACATGGGGAAGGAGGTAGAACCCAACAAATGAATTGAAAGACTTGAAAAAAGTTCAAATTTAACTCCAGAATATTCCTGAAGGTGTCCAGACTCTGTTAATCTTTACTCTATTCAACAGCTTAGTATATTGTAACACACCTAAACATTCAGTTTTTTAGTAAACGAAATGTATACTGTATTAAACATCAATTTTCAGTACTGTAAGTTGCCATGGGAGATTGGACTAGAAGAGATGAGAGTTACTGAGTGGGGATATGGTGGAGGATGACAGAGAGGTGAAATTAGGTACACCACTGCACTCATGTAGTAAAGGATATGAATCCAGTGAGCTGCTGAACCAAGGCATCAAGCACATGGAAAATCAGAACAGTACAAAATATGCTGCTGAATAATAAATGGCTGTTTTAATACGGATAACTTTTGGATCCTGCTCAGTATACTGCATGTATAAAAAGGAAATATTGGAATCATTTTATAGACCAACAGATATTCTAAACTTTTATTTCATTAAATTAGCCACCTTTGGCTGGTGTAACAGCGGGACAGCTGGCTACCGTTTCAAAACTTATAATCTTGTTCCCTTTTCCTGAGATAGTCCAGAATAGCTTGCACTTATGTTAGGTAATGATTTGAAGCATGGTATATTCCAGAGGGCATTCCAGTTGCAGAATGCCGTGGTACCTGTTTGGTTGAGTTTACCTCTTACTTTGTACAAACCACCTCCCCTGGATCCAGCAAAACAGCCCTAGAATACCAAACTTCCTTATTTAAGTCTGACTGTTGATTTCCCATACTGGGAAACATCCTCTCACCTCTTTGGTGATGTAGAGACATCTTTTGGGATGAACCACAGATTTAAAACTTTGATTAAGTCCATAATAGTTTCATTCATTCTTCAGTTGTCCAATGGCAGCATTTCATGTCCCAGGCAAGCCTCTTTGTTCTATTCTGGCATCTTAGTAATGGCTTTCTCGCTCATTTGTCCTGTCAAATCTGCAATTCAGTCATCTCTTCACAGTTGAGACAAATCCTGCTTATGAATTTATTATTAAGCTGTGCTTAAAGTTGTTGTACTGTGAGCCATCTATCACACAAGCTACAGTATTATCTTTTAGAAACTTGATCTCCAATTCAGATGTACTTTTGGGTCTGCAAGACCTCTTCCTGTCAGTTTCTGAGTACCCTTTTATGGTGGAAAACTGATACCAGTTGACACATCAATTTTATTTACCATTTTTGTTTAGAAGAGACTTACTCTAAATTTTTTAGTGTTGATGGTCTGTCTCTCTTTTATTGCTTTTATTGTTATTTGCCTATTCCTGGACAAACTGAGCTCACAAGGGTATGATACCACAATGTGTTGTGGTAACATAATAAGTTACCATAACAGGTGCAGGAATTAGGAGCACTGAGTTTCATAGATTGATCCACATAACAGAGTTTCCTGAGCACATTAAAGTTGTTGTCAGAGGTAGTGTTAAAAATAAAAAACACCATTTAATGAGAGGGTGAATTGAAAATATTGGCTGGTAGTTTACATTTGCGCATTTCTTGTTTTTCTTCCAGTTTTGCCAGAGAATGTTCATTATCTAATGATTCGATACATGAGGCATCAGTGATGGACTGTACTCAGACAAATTCATCTATCACGGACATATAGACAGGTTAGACTCATCACTCACTTTTTCCTGTCTGCAGACTGCGATTATAGCCCACAGGGCTGAAAAATTCAAAAATAAAGACAGTCACTGCCACGACAGTGAGGCACATGACGAACATCATCACCCACACTGCTGGACTGTAAGGCTCTGTGAAAAAATAAAAAAGAACAAACAAAAAAAACAAAATAGTTAATTAATTGAATAAAGTACAGAAGATTGTGTTATATAATTTGTACATAAATCAATCTCCTTAAACAAAAGCATTGGAGCAAACACAGTCCTTAGTAGATAAACACTGTTTAATGTTTCTAAGCTCTGCTCGATTCATTGAAGTCAGTAACATTGATCTCCCTCTGGGGCCTCGAGTATGCTGACAGAGTAAAAAAAGACATTAAGAAGACATGAGAAGCTAAAAAAATCTAGATGTAGGGGCCAGCAACCAAAGATCAAGGGTTTTTCTGCAAACTCAACACTTTACATCTACATTAGATGCTGTTCATCAGCAAATGCCTTGCAGTGGGCTAACGGTCTCACCTAAGAAAGCTGATGGTGAAACAGTTCCATTGCTACGGGAGACCATGACACTGATCCCTGTTTCCACAAAGGGAACAGAGAAATCCACAACCTCGGACCTCTCTTCATTGATAGTCAGTGAGCCGATGGCCATGTCCGCCCGCTTGTACACCACCTGAGGAGAACAACAGCAGTGATAGGAAAGAGTTCTAATTATGGAAATTCAAGTAACTGCTCTGAATAGACAAAGCCAATTTTTTTACAGTCCACCATACACTTTTTTTTCCAGTTCACATCCTGACATTTCTGCACCTTGACCCTTTGTACAGCCAAACATGAGGGGAGTCAGTGTTTCGGCTCAGTGCAATTACTGAACACATGTCTCCTGCGCATCTCTTTAGCATGCAGAATGAGCCGGAGACCCGTCTACTCTCTGCAACCATCAAGTAAAACCTCAAAACCGCTGTGTCTGCTGATTGTACAAGCAAAATGTTAATCTACATTAGACATGGCACATCTGCTCTTCAAAACAAATCAGCAGAAAACTGAATCGAAGCGGAACGCAAACCCCCCCCCTCCACCCAGCTTTGCCTAGTCTTTGGATTACCTGATCAAAGAATGGCAGGCTTGGGAGGAGTTGATGAAAATGACAGGAATTAGCTTTAGAAAACAAAATAGGTTTGGTTTCTTCTTTTTTTTTTCATCTTGCAAAAATAGATCTGACAGTCAGCTCTGACCTGGGGTCAAGTTATAAATGATAAGAGCACGAGAGCAGTGAGGAACTGTTTTAGAAACGCAAGACTGGGTGTGCGACAAGTTCCTTCTGTGAGAATGAAACAGTGGAGAGCTTCAATGAAGTCACAAACACTGTGTTGATCTCAATATACGAGTTAGTACTATGCGAGTGCATGATTGTTTCTTTGAGACTTTTCCCACTCCTCCTTTCACCAGCACATCTGTCTTGATTTTACAGGACTGATAACCTATATGACCAAGAAAATATCAAGGACTGACCTTAAATATGTGGGGGTATCTAGTATGCTTTATGCTTATTCTAATACAGTATAAACTGAAACTTTCCACAGAAGTATACAGTGTGAACATAGTGTGGAGAAAAACATATTTTCCGTGTTTTTAACCTTTTTATCGCCCTTTAATGTTTCCAATTAAATGTCAGACTACTTAAGTCACATTGAACCATACAAACGATTATAAATGCATTCTGCTGACACTGGGAGCCAAGTACAATCCAAAGTCTTGGTTGTGTATATGATACACAAATTGATGCTGCAGCCAACAGATTTTTTTTCTAACCTTCTCCAAAGCTGCTGTTTGAATGGTAAATTGGGTTATAAATGGGGAAATTAAAACAGGTACAATGTAAATGACAGAAAAAAATTATGATGGTTTATCTGACCTCTTTTATAGCAAGCAGAATACAATAAAAAAAAGCCAACAATCAGTTGTCATAATCTGTGCAATAACTCAACAAGAAATAAAAGCAGTGGGATAATATTGATGTCTTATGTGTTGATTAAGTTCAACCCCAATTTCCAACCATGTTTTTTTTTTACACAAGTATGACCCAGATGTGTGAACTGTCTTAATTACCAGACCCAAGGCAAAGTCCAATCAAATATTTAACTAATTCAGAATTAACCATTAAATTAAAAGATATAAAAAAACAAAAAGACAGTACCAACAATGACTGATAGTTACTTGAAGTTTAAACAAAAGGACTTGTTCTGCACTTAACATTACCCGTAGTCTTGATGTAAGACTTGAAACTTGACAATAATGATGTGAGACTAAGTTGTGAAGATTTGGTCCCACGTCTTTATTACCTGCCTTACATTCATCACACAGTGTATAGGAAGGCAGGTAGAGAGAACAAGCATTACAACACAATCAAAGACTAACCTCTCCAATCATGCCATTCCAAACGCCATCGATTTTCTTCCCATGCTTCCCATTGGTCACCAAGTAGAGGTCATAGGTAAAACCAACAATCTTAGCTAGGCGCTTTAGGATGTCAATGCAGAAACCTTTGCAGCACTGCTTTAGAGGAGCCAAACCCTCATGAATAGCACTGGGAAAGAAAAGGCAAAAGAAAAAAATACAGAAAATAAATAAAAAGTCTACAGAACATAAATAATACAGCAGGGGCCATTGTGATAGGTTTTATGATATAGTATAGGATAGGGATTGCCATTACACATTTTATCTAAATTGAAACTGCAGTACTTTACAACAGAAAAAGGTTGCATGATTTAAACCTGGCATTGAGGGGTCGTCTGCAGGGAACAGAGTCTCGGATGCAAGTTCCTGAAGCAGCATCTGCAAGCTCCACAATGACAAATGGCCTTTCCTCCAGTGTTACGACGCGTAGGTGCTGGGCATCGTCAGGTGGCTTCAGGAAGGGCCCATAGCGGGACCATGCTGGGTAACGAAGCCTCAGCACACCATTCTCCCACCAGCCTACCTAGGGGAACAGAAGAGAGAAACATTAGAGAAGGATGCACTTTTTATTCCCTCTCTTTGTAGTGATAAATCAACACTGTATTCTTTCCTAACAGAAATGAACAGAAAGCATCAAAAACAATCAACTGTAACTCTGTTGACTTTCTGTCTGCATCTTGAAGGCAGTTTCTGTAAAAGGGAAAGGTGCTCAATTATTTCTCGAATAGGTTATTAAAACAAAGGATTTTTAATTTGAAAATATTGACAGATCTAGTTCATGGTACAATTTTTGAACTCACACGCATTCCAAATTTAGAAAAAAAAGTTCTCAAATTGCTTACCTGTTATGTGTCATTTTATTTAAATGGAGATAAAAAAAATTTTATTTTTCATAGTGGCCTTTGACTGTGCAATGTAAATATTATTAGTTATATTTCCAAACTTTTTCATTTGTTTTCTTTTACTAAATAATATCTTTTCAAAAACACTCATTATATATATATATATATATATATATATATACTATACCACTTATCTTAATGTGTAACTTGTATTCTCTTTAACTGTTTGTTTTGTTTTTCATGAACACTTTCAATTGTCTAACCCTTGAAAGTTTTAAATAAACTCATTAATTGTATAAATAAATTTACGTTGCCATTATCCCCAGCATCTTTTCTTTCCCAAGGCAATACACTCAGCAGCTCTTGGATATTTGTCTTGGCCTTATGAGCAATAAGTTTGTCTTTTCTTTCACGAACACATCATACTATTTTAATGATCATACAATTTTATGAATTTTATAGGTTAAATAGCATCTGTTGCTGATTAGTGATGTTCTTTGTCTTCTCTGTCATCTAATAAGTTGCTTTTAAGCTTACTGGGCTGAATTTAAGCCATTTGTATCACTTTATTATTGAATAACTGAAACATCCTGTGAAATGAAATAATATACTGTAAGTCACTACTTTCCCCTTATTCAAGTTGCAGACACAAAGAAATAATCAGCTTTTTGCTCGTGTTCACAACTTATTATTTTTTTATCAGAGAGCTGGGCTAAAACAAAGAGGAACATTGTGATTAAGTGGCTTTGGAAGTGTAACCATGTGAGGAATAAGGTCATCGATCCCTTTGCGCCTACGCCTGGTAACATTAGCTGTTCCTTTGGAGTGGCGGTCCTTGTGATCAGATGGTTTAAATCTCCTGCGGGTTAAGAATCAATTGACTTGAATCATTTAGTGATTGTGTTCCTGCACGAGTGAATTAGGACCGTACAGAGCTGTGAGGAGAATAGGTAATTTCTGGACTTACAGTTTGGCTTGTATACCAATAGTTAGCTATTCTGTTGTTGTGAAATACTTAACAATCCTTTGTACCTCTCCAACTTGGATTCTGAGGTGACACCATCTAAATGCAGTTTTCTGAGGGAGTTGCTTAGCTAGAATATTTTAATTAACCACAACAAAATCACCAAAATTGATTTTTAAAGAGCTGCTGTTCTTTAACCCGAGACAGTATGTAGGTAGGTTAAAAATTTGATAGCTGCATACATTCTGTGGGCAAGGGTTAAAAACTAAATTTTTCTACATTTAGGCATAATAGTTAGACACAAATAGGAAAATAGGGTGGAACTGGCAACCGAAGTGAAATTTTGACATGACATTCTTATTTATAATGCATTTTAATGTTTAGATTATACTGTAGTTGATGGTTTTCAACTACAGTACACATGAGCCACTACCAGATTATCAATATATCATAATATGGAATAAAACTATCATTGCTGCTCAGTAATTACATAATAATATATATTTATATATTGTTTAATACAAATTAATAATTAATTAATTACCATTTATGTAAACACCTTAATTCAGGATTCATTTTTCAATTGAACATGTATGCCTACATGGTTACATACATATATCCTGCATTGCATTATCTTAGTGTTATACTTTTTTCTGATGTGTGTTCTTTGTTTTAATCTGTAATTTAATTTCAACAAACTGCCCTACCTCATTTGGTTGTTTTCTCTCTTTTGTGTTACTCCAGTAAACACCTATTATATCTTCTGAGTTCAGTGATTTGTTTTCCAGTTTATCTGTTGTTGTCTGTTGTCATCCAGACCCATTTTAGTATTGCTTATTGTGGCAGATTAATTACTAAAAGAATGAGGTTTAATCTGCAGCATGAATATGCAAATTTGTTAAAGAATCTGTCAAATTTTAATCCACTATCTTAAAATCATAAAACCCTTTATGTTTGTTCATTAGTTTCAAACAGTTCAATATGTATTTTTCTTCTGATGAAATACATTTTCCAGTGGTGCCAAGTGGAAGAAAGTTTGTTTGTTTTGTAATTTATGGCAAAGGACTGTGGAAAAAGCAGACTAGATCTCAGTTAAGGCAAAAACTGCTTTCTGATTAAACTGATATCAGCTGGTTAGTCAAGATATCCAGTCGGATGTTTTACGGACATATTAGTTGTAGCTAGTCAAAGGTAGTTTTCCACAGTTACATTAATAGCAGTGATGGATGGATGGATGAATCAATTGATAGATGGCATTTCACTTGATGGATGGTATTTCACAGAAACAAACTGTGATCATTCTAAAACATAAACCAATAGAATAGTATGACAGAACTTTTTTAAACCTTGGTAAACATATCTGTAAAAATCTAACTAATGTAATACATGGTCATAAGTTGTGCTTCAGATTTTCAACCAGGTTCTGTAGTCTCCTGCATCGCAGGGAAAAGGTTTGAAAAAGACAACCCCTATTGCACCAAATATTATTGCGAGAATGTCAGTAAGTTATTCATTAAATTTATCCTTCTCTATTATGTGTGAATAAAGTGTAATAATTTTGTCATTCTTTTTATTGCGGAAAGAGAGAAGCATAGACATTAAAAATATGAAAAACCAGCATTGCCATAGATGAGAGACCCCAAACAACACAATAAACAAGCTTAAAGAGTACAGGCCTCATAAAGCCAGAACACACACAGAGATAGAGTTATATTTGATTATGCTGCACATGTACTGCTTTACATATTGTGCTTCTATCATGTTTTTTTTTTCACTTGGCCAAAATAATAACTATGTTGAAAGGAAGCAGTTACTAGACAAATATTTGCATGACAAAATGCATCAGAACATGCAAATACAGTCTTTATATTAGCCCTTCATATACTGGTAAATTGGAGGAATAACACAATTATAAGACAAATTTAAATGATTAAGTAAGAAACCCCAGATGCACATGGTTTCTAGAGTAAAAAGGTCTGTTGAAGGCTTAAATACATCTCTTTAACCTCAAAGACCACCATGCACCCTGCAGCCTACTTTTAATTGAATTTAACCAACTTAAATAATTCAAAAGGGTCCAATTTAGAAGCACTGAGTTACTAACAGACATTACAAAAAGACATGCCTGAGTAACATAAGCCATCATTTTTGCATGAATAGAAAAAATAATTACAGGTTTAGAACTCTGTCTATCACTGACCTGAAAATAAATGTATTTCATTAATCTTTCAATATCTAGGTGTAAGTCTTAAAATGTCCCATTTTTAAGTTTGCAGAAAGGTGGAACATTAAAAAAAAAATGTATTCTGTATATTTAGTATATTTAGTTATTGACAAGCATAAACAGAGGCACATAAACACACACATATACATATACTGTATATATATAAATATTTAAAAGAAAGACCGAAATAAAAATCTGATTGCTTAGGCAGGCCAGAACAGTAAAGTATGGCAGCTTTTGTGCAGCCTGTCTGTCAGTGCAGTGTAAGCGCTGGCAGAGAGGAGGAGGAGGTGGAGACCATGACAGTGTCTCTACTGCACTTCGACCGCAGCTCGGCAAAAGACATTCAATCAAAACATAGACAGGAAACAGACAAAGCTTACTGAGGAGAATGCTGCACTCTATGAGACAAATACTCAGAAAGAAGCAGACACACATGTCAGGAAAAGAAGAAAAAGAAAATAGCAGAGCAAAGTCTTGAATATCGTGCGGCAGAGAAAGGATTTTCCCTTAAAGCAAAGTTTTAGGACCGGGAGTCACTTTAAGGTAAAGTTTTACTCCTCAGCCACTAAGAGTAGCTTTTATAAATGGTTATTAAATTCTGTTAATATCACATCCCTGTGCTGTGTCTATAGCTGAAAGACACCCCGCCTAATGCTGAACAACCTCAAGCACTCGTCTGCAGAGGTTCAGTCCGCTAGGTCTTGGGGCGCCCAAGCTCTAAGTGATGGTACAGTCATTGTAAAAATAATATCAAATATTCAACAGCATGGATGTGTATAATAGGCAGATAGAGGCAGTGCATTTATGCAAGAAGGGGAGTGGGCATATTTGTCTTTGCAAACAGTAGTCTCCTTTGTGTCCACACTGGATGTCTGTGGAAGTTGTGAGCATGATTTTCTGTGTGTGGGGGCAGCTTTCACAACCTAGGTTTGCAGTTAGTGGAAGGATCGGCACAGGAGTCTCTAATTGAAAGGAATTTGAAGAAAATGGCAGAAGTCAATGTAATACGACATGCTGAGACTGGACGTTGGTGGGCTGTTAAAACCAGCAGGGAACTAAGAACCACTGATGTGTGTTGCATGCTTGTGTGCGCCTATTTCTGTCATTGCTGGAGCGAATGATCTAAGCATGTTGTGCGTCTTTATGCATGTACAGGGAGGCATTATAGAAGCTGGTATGGAGCTGAGAAAATTAGCACCACACACAATCTTCTGATACTGACTAGGGTTGAAATCTATCTATATAAAAAACGGAAACCATCTCAAACAGGTGACAAGACTTCCTGGCAAGAATGCGAAGGAAGAAAAATAGTTTAACAGAATATGCATGACAGATGAAAGCTGGTGATTCTTGAGAGGCATGCGCAAAGTACTTTATATAGTATGTCTGTCCCCGAGCAGAAAGTTTTGACATCTAGAAATCTTAATCATTTGTGTATGTTTTTATCAAGCAAGAACCTAAAACAGAAAAATCAAAACTACCGACCAGATAAAACAACAGGATATTGATGTTGAATGTCTAATGACAAAATATGAGAACAATTATGCTTTTATGTTAAAGAAGGTTGAAACATTATAACACTGATACAAAATTTTCCAATTTTGTTTATCATGTTTTTAAAAGGGTAATTGACACCTTTGCAACTTTGTTTTAATTAAAGAATGAATATAAAGTTCTACAGTTGTACTTTACATTTTTTTTACTAAACACCTATTGATGCTTTATGCATAACATTTGCTACATATATGATGTTTATTATCATCATTTTGATGATTAGATGATTGCTTGCCAGTAGCATCAACACTTGTTAATTACTAACTGTTCTGTCTGTGGCAATGCAGTCCAAAATTAAGCCTCTGCTAACACAAAGATTTAATCTAAGGTTTAAATTCAAGTGATATTTTGCTGCAATTCTTTAAAATGCCTCTTTTTTACTGCTGTTCCTTTCTAATCCCAGCCATAAAAAGAATTTAAAGGCAGAGTTTCTTCCATAAATGCCTTCAATTGCTAGAATCTCCTGGACATGATATATAAGGCAACTCTGAACACAGAAATTTCTGAATTTATCATTACAATCAACTGCACTATAGTGGTTTTATTTTCTTATGATCATGGGTTTATTCTTGGTCTCAAATTAATAGGTCAAGTAAAACATAAATATTTCAGAGTTTGCAGAGCTTTTAAGCCAAAAATCAACCAAACTGGAATGAAGAAGTTTTTTTTAAGTATCCTTGATAGTGGAATAATGTCTGTAGAGCACAGAACTTAAATATTTTTCCTCATCTGATTGATTAATTGCCTCAAAGCTAAAACGCTCAGTTCCTAGAACATATAGAAGCAATGAACAGCATATACAGAGCCTCTAAATAAAACAACTCATGACAAATATAAAATTTACTCTGCAAACAGGAATATAGCTGCTGTTCTTTTCTAGTAACCCTGGCTCCATGTTTGCCCATCTGAAGAGTTATGAAAATTTGTTTAATCCATAACTAATTGTTTCTGTTTTTGCCTTATGTCAGACTAACATATTTCAAATGATCAATTCATTAAAATTTTGTCATTTAGGTCACGTGTGTTTTTTGCATTGAATCTCCTAAGAATGTCATTCTTTTAATCTTACTGTTAAATCAGAAATACTATGAACCTGAAATACTTAGTTTTTTATTTTATTTTGTTGTGAGCTTGTGGATGAGCTGTTGGTGTGCTTTTGGAGTAAAGCCAGCCTTCCAGATACTACTTCACTTTTCTGCTATGTCATTCTGCGCGAAATGTTTCCATGCAGCAGTCCAAACCTGATGCATGCAGGACCTGTCCATGCATCGCCTCCTTGTGACTGACTCCAGGTGGCTCATTTGGGTTTTAGATGTTGACATATTTAGCTGTCATCCATTACAAATTGATTCAAACTGCATAACGGATGAACAACGGGGGGGAGCTGTGCATCATAGTGCAGCTCAATAGAGTCAGCATGGATTACCACAATAACTAAAAAAGCTTCAATTTGTGAAGGAAAAGTAAACACACCGATGAAGGGGTCTGTGTGAATATGGGGTAATTAATTGTGGCGGTTTGGCTATTCCTATAAAAGGTTCAACAGTTTTCTACATTTTCACAATATGTGGATAACTTCCTAATTATTTTTGTCCTTTATCCTTACGTTTATATAAATTATCAGGATGATCAGTCTACTTTATTGTATCTTGTCAGAAATTTTCTTTTTAAAGGATTCATTTATTTTATATTATAGTAATCAAGCATACTGTAGCAATTTGAAACTAAACTAAAAAAAAAATGGGTTAATTACATAACAATGGGGGAGACAGTGGCATAGAATGCAAAAGTGTACAATTTACTTATTTCTTACATCATTAAATAGACAATAATTAAAGAGGTATTATAGAGTTTTCCAATGCTGTACTCCTCTGTTCATTCTCGTAGCTTGAGCTTGTACTTGACAAGTTTTTTTTTTTTCTTTTTTTACAATAAACGAAGCTGCAAACGGTGTCTCAGGTGAACTAGATGCAAGTTGCTTCTGAATATTCACGGAATCCTTCTTGAACGCAACACTTTGATTATTTTCTAGAACATTCTCATTTAAGATGGATGTGCTGAACGTCATAGCATCATTACCGAACAGAGCCGGAACTTCCGATCCAAAGTACATTAAGGAAAGTTGGCAACAGGCTTATAGATGAATTGGTGCTGAAGTACTGAGCAGTCAACCTGCTCAACAAATAATATTTTAGTCATAAAGGGTAAACAAAAACCAATTTTATAGATATATTTCAGTAAACACTTGCATACCGTATCTTTAAACCTTTTGACAGCACTATATGCTCCACCTGTTGCTGCGTAATATGCTCTGCTTCCCCTGTACCTGCTATGACAGAGTCAAAGACGGAACAGATGCAAGGAGGTGTTTCCTTCCATAGCCATTATAAAGGTGTTTGCAATAAAGAAAAGAGTATAAAGCTTCTGTGTACAGGCTTACCCAAATAAAGCTTTAGTATCACTCACCAAAACTCTGCACAATAACAACGATATCTGCAGCTTTACTGGCATTTTGAAACATGAGCAGAAAAAGGCTGTCTATAGGCCATCTCTTTTTAATTGCAGGTCTGGAGACATTTACACGAGATCTGCCAGTAGTTATGTGAGGGGAAAGGGGCAGTTGCAATCTGTTTCTTTTGTTTTGGCACATAGGCCAGGTTCAAAAAGCCCTATGATTGAGACACCAAAAAATTGCATTCCTTAAAAAACAAAAAAAAACAAAACCCAAACATTTTCAAATGTTAAATAGGCTTTTGCCTTTTTCTTCAAACTCCCACTCCTGTTAGTTGACTCTAACATGTCAGTTAGCAATGTATTTCATGTTCATGGTGGTTAATATCAATTGTTTCAATAAAATGTCACTATCCTATTGCTTTAAGCAAGGATTAATAATTATTATGCTGAAATTGTGAGGGTTTATTTTAATGGGGTTTCATGGTGGATTTCTGCACGGGGGGTCGGAACAAACCAAAATATATTAAATGTGTATCCAGGATACTATGCATATTGTATTAGTGTTTGAGTTTGGTACTAATTAGACAAAGTCTAGAGCAAAAAAGGGCAACATTCACTTCTTTTCTTTGATTCAAATGTCTATCTTCATTAAAGATGCTGCAGCAAATGTTTCTTCTTTTTTGTTATGTTATTCACTATGAATTAAAAAGCAGGAAAATTGAAATATAGATTATCAATGGCAGCTTAACAAAAGCACCAAATCCCATGTACAGTTAATTGGTCTTCACAAATCATCTGCCTTGGAGCCCTGACAGTCTGAATAAAACCTTACTACCTGACTGTCCTCCTTGCTCACTTCAAGTCCTATTTTCCAGATGCCAATGTAGAACAGAGCTTCTGTTCAAGCTTGGACAGAATAATTAAGAATTCAGTGTTGTTTAAAATAGGAAAAGCAATGCATATGCTTTTATCTCCACGCTTTCAAACCAAGCATATTTGCTATAAAGTTTCCGAAATGATTTGTGATATTACTGAGTTTTAAAGCAAATAAGATTTCAAAACAAATAAGTTTGATGGTAGACTCATTAGAAAAAAATAAAAAATATCTATAATCAACATGAGCAAACATATGAAATGAAAAACATAATTAAACTGTTATTTGTCTGCCAAATTACAGATTCTCAAACATCTTAATATTTATATTTTTATAAAGCACAATTGCTGTATGTGACACAACTCTTTCCTCGTTTGATAGTCATTGATAGTCATGCAATCCCATGCAATTCCCAGCACACGGTTATATTTAAGTAGTTATTTCATGTCCTTACATCTTCCCATCCTCTGCCAGGTGTCCACGAGATGACGTCCAGGAATGGGTTGGCCAGGTAACCGTCACTATTGAAGGAATAGTCTCGACCACCCAGTGTTATGTTGCTGAAATACCTGCAGGTTTGCGAGAATTAAGTGGAAGAAAGGGAGAAGTGTTAAATACGTCAAATGCACCACCAGTCTCTTAAATATAAGTTTCCGAATACTTGAAGAAGTCAGCTCCGGTTTTTACTCAATTGTTGCACTCCATGGAAGTTCAAAAATTGGACCTCAAACACCCGAGCAACCTTATTTTAGATGCATGTCTTATAAAACTGTGGAGTTGATGCACAGAGATCAGCTATTAGAAAGTCATGCTACATGGTAGTTAAAGGACAACTAACCCCTAAATTAACATTTTCTTTTTTTTCTAATAAACTGCATACACGGAAATATATGCTATCTATGTCATGGGCATTATTCAACAATTTGCTCTACATTTGCTGCAGTCCTGCTTTTGTGTCTAAAACTGTGTGGTTCCCTCCTCGGGATATAACTAAGTTTACTGCTACTGATTTTGAATCAGTGTTAGAGTTGGCTTTCCTGTTATTACAATACTATCCTGAAAAATGCTTACATCCCTGGTTCTGCCATATGGGTTACTCTTGGTCCACAGATTCATTGATGTCATTCCCCTGTTTGAATACCACTTTTAAACTCAGCATATTGCATATATTTATGGTGAAAACACATCCATATTTATGTGTATGTGTGTACACCACAACCATAGCAGATTAATCATCATCATTCAAAAACAGAATAGTTATTGTTATGCAAATTGCCTTGTAAACAAAGCTGGTGGTTGTGTTGGTGCAGATTTACACAGCTGCTAAGGGTTCTGTGCAGAGAGCAGCTGAAACAAATTTTTAAATATTAGGGTGTTCAAAGCTAATTGCTTAGTTTAAGCAACAGTTGAAAAACGTTTTTCTATTTTATTTGTGTCTAAATAAAAACCTACCCCTACCCTTACTCTACCTTAGAACTTATCAAGAGCATAATCATTATTGTTAAAAGGGTAATTATAAAAGAGAAAAATTCTAACTTTAGTGTAGAACGTTTGCAAACTGATCCCTTTAAGAACACCATCGATATGAGTAAGATGCACATCTTTTGAAGATTGTAGGTGTTTAGTGAGTTGCATCTTTAGAAACAATTGATAAATCTGCTACAGGTGACACATTGCCAGGATAGTGTCAATTTTCTACCAGAGTTAAAGAAGAGAATTTCATTCAGGCCAAAATATCTGTGGCTGCAAAGAAAGAAAAAACGGATAATGCAAACGATAGGGCTTGGAAAATCATTGATGAATTTTATCAGGCAAAAATCACTACAAGTACTTTCATAGACAATTGTTAATCTGATTAATTATATTTGTATCATATCATATACATTACAAAACAGAGCACCTATTACATACTTTATTTGTTTGAAGCTAAATCTATGAGGACACAGTGGGATCGTCTGTTAATCCAATCAATAAAAAGGATCGGACACACTAAAATGTGAGTATCTTTAATATCAAACAATTGCTGCAGGAGACAGGATAGAACTTTAAAGGCTCTTCTTTTGTCAAGTCATTGGCTTCAAAAAATGGAGGAACACTTAAAACTGGTTCTTGTTAAATGACAGAAACTGGTTGTTGCAGAATGTAAACAGTAGGTAGCAGTGCAAAAAGATGGTGCAGCTTTCCACTCTGTTGCTGAACATACTTAATACACAAACTGTAAATAATCCATTAATCATTTTAGCATAATTTCCACACTGATGGCACTGTGCTTCATTTAATGGAATGACTACAAAAATACTAATTAATTATACATTTGAGTCACTTAGAGCTTCCCCAATATCAACTCTGATCCACATGCAGTGCATACCTGTTGTTAGAATAAACAATGCTAATGATAATCCAGGAAGATAACAAGAATAACATAAACAACCTGTTAAAGTCTGCTGCTGTGTGTTTTAACAGCCTATGAGGGATATATTAAAAGCAGCTCATTAATATACATGAGACATGGTCCGCTTGCTACAGATGCTACGGTAATTTTGCCAACTCACAACTACAAGCACCAGCATCATCTATTTTGCATGGATGATAGCCAGCCCCAAATTCAGATATCCCCCCTGCTCCTGCTCGCTGACACTGAATCTGCTAATTCAACCCATATATCTCTTGGCTAATTCTGGCCATGATCCAAATTTCCTCTCTAAAACTTTCACCTCATGCTACCTCTATTTTTGTTTCCTCCCATGAAGCACATTTTGTCTGGTGCCAGTGAGCTATCATAAAAATGAAAATTATTCAAATTCCTTGTTGGTTCCAATTTCTTCAGGTTACAACCAGAAAAAATAATTGTATTCTGGTGCAGTGCATGAGATAGGGCAACAGAAAGTAGTTCAGCATTGTGAAATGAGAAAAAAAACATTATTTTTTTTACAAATAAACATTTAAAATGGGTAATGTGTTTTAGATTCAGCTCTCTTACTTTGATGCAACTAAAAATGAGTCAATCAATCTTTTTATTAGCTGTTACTAATCAGTAAATAGAATTGATCTGCATAATCTTATCATAATGTTATTGGAACTACTTCAGAGCCAATCAATAAAAAAATGAACAAGCACAACATCCATGCTGTATTTTCTAGATTAAGATACATTGTCCCGGATCCCTTGCTAATAAATGAACACAAACGTATCATGCTCTGCAAATTAAAGGTACTGTGGATGATCTTTAAGCTTTAAATTCTGGGGCAAAATCTTATCTATTGGCCTGCTCTTGCTGTGCATGTACAATTCTAGTGTTTATGTATTGAGCTAGCTTTGGTTCTGCTGGCTTAAGCTCTCACTGTATAGTTAGAAAATGACTAATAATTGCATGAAGCAGTCTTGCAGGTTTAGGAGATGAAGAGGAAGGCTTTAGAAGAATGTATATATATATATATATATATATATATATATATATATATATATATATATATATATATATATATATAT